CATCCCCCGAAGCACAGACAAATCATCAGAATTCCGCGATTTCGTAAAATTATCTCGCGCAAAAGACGCGGTAAAACCAGTAGACGGAGTAATCTTAGGCTGGGAAAGAGGCGTTAAACTCGTTTGAAAAAAAGCGGCTACCACGAAGGCGCGGGGGGGAACAAGGAAGTGGCTGCTTACCTTGGGATTCGCGATGCTCAGGAATCTCAGCTCGCTCTCCTCGCCGTTCAGCATGACGAAAACAGATTGCTCGCTGGGTACGTCTGAAACAAAGAGGGAGAGAAAGCAGATGAGTGACGTGGCGCTTCGCAAAGCCGCTCAAAGAGCGTCACTGAAAGAAGGCTGACGGATAAAGGGGAACACTGTTGCGTGGAGGGGGATGGAATGGAAGGGCGAAGGGAGCAACACTCGTCTTTCATTTGCTGCCTCATTTATTTTCCCCTGTACCATCCCCTTCGATACCACACGAACAACGACGTATCTAGAGAGAAAGAAAGAGATGGCAAGTGTTGCGTCACAGCGGCGAAGGAAGATTCGCGACGATTGGATGCCTCTCGCGTTAGGTTAACGATACGAGGGATAGTTAGGCGACGAGTCACAACTGTGAGGAACAACCTTAAATGGTGAAGAGGGGGTTTTTCCGGGTCCGAGTTCGGTACAACATCTACTATACATCGGTGCTAGAAAGTGAACGCCAAAATTCCATCTGGCTGGCTACAGCTGATATGGGGTTCCTCCCCGAGGTGCGGCGCGTCCACTTGGACGCTGAAAGCCAACACTGGTTGTGAGGAACAACCTTTTCTCGCAGCGAGGAAAAATGGAAAGTCGAATTTGTTAATGGAAAAATTACTAATTTGTGGGAGGAAATTATTTTATTTCGTTTTCTGAAAGTTGGTTTTATCGTATTGTCTATACTGGAACCTTTTCGAAAATTATTTCGTAGATTCGCATACCGTGAAGAAAAATATTTTTGAAAAATAACTGAAGGATAATGAATTCCTCGTCGCTGAATTAGAAGAAATCTCGTTTCACAAGATTAAAAATGAAATAAAATTGACGATTTTTAGTACATAGAAAATCTGTGAGCCTGTATTGTTTTTATCGTATTATTTATTCAGGAACCACGTGTCCTTTTCGAAAATTGTTTCGTAGATTCACATATCATGCAGAACGAAAATTCTTGAAAAATAACCGAAGGATCGCCAAGTTGAAGGAAAAAGTGAAATTGACCATTTTTGGCCCGTCCAAAGTTGAGTCGTCGACTTAATCAAAAATTAAGGTATTAAAGAAGAGGAAAAATTGCTAATCGGCTAAGTCTAAGACGTCGTAAAACAGTTACAGTTTTAATTGACTTGACGAAGCAATAGAAAGCACGCGCGTAGAAGAGGGAAATTATGAAATCGAGCCGACGTGAATAAATGAGCGGGCAAAATGGAGATGAAATTGTTACAGTGACGGCCACCTGACACGATGGCCGAGCACAGCGTAATCACGACTCTCTAAATGCGTCCACGCGTCGACTACCATCCTGAAGAACGTTTGCGTCTTCCTATCTCCGTATCGAAACCGTAACATTGACGATGTCGGTCGTTCGAGGGGTGGATCGTCGATTTTCTGGCTCGATTCTTCGGGGATTTTCGAGTGAAAGCCTTTCAAATCTTTAATCTTCTCCGGGGTGTCTTTTCACGCGTAATCTAAAGCTTGGATCATCGATGTTTCGTCACCGTTGCTCCGAGAAAAAGCTCCCGTTATGACGAGGAAAAGAAATTCTTTTCAACGAGAGAAACGTTGAATGTTCGTACTGAACGAAAATTGGGCTGTCGGTAATTATTAACTTGTTAACTCTGTTCACCTCTCTAAGTTTATAATTCAAAATGAGCAAGAGCTAGGACCAATTACTTCCTTTCCATTCTTCCTTAACGTTCAACGCAATTAAGGATCAATAATTCCTCGATAAATAAATTATTCTGTTCTAAATATCGGCTAACAAATGACGAGTTAACTCGTCGTACACAGTTGACAGATACAAATACACGTGTTTAGCTAACCATACTCCCACACTCGGTCAAACGACTGGTTCTCAATTTTATACGTCATTTTTTGTCACTATTATCTAAAGTCTATTTTCTGCGTTGCTTCTGTGATGGTATAACACTTGATAATAAGTTCAATAGCAATATATTTTATAACAATAACTATAAACACACGTAAAAAGAAATAATGGTAATTTGATCAACGCTCTCTAAATATATCTCGCAATAAATTCTCACGTACGCACTGATATCAATAACAACGCGCTTCTACTGTTTTACTCCCTGTTTCCCTGTATGATCCGCTCGTTTTCCAAATCTCGAGACGATTCGACAAACACACTACATTCACGCCATCACTCACAACTTATTATTAAACCTTTTCTGCGTTGCTTCCTATTGAATTTAGGCAATAAATTGAAATATGTAGTAATTAAATTACAGAACAATTCTGTATTTTACACGCAAGAAAGGCACGTTACTAGAGCTCAAGAAGAAGCGAAGAAGAAAAAAAGAAAATATCAACGTCCACTCATGCTAAACAGATGGTTACTATGTCCTCGCAATAATCCAACATTTCCTGCATTAAATTGACAATCACCTCTACTCCTTCCAGAAAAATATACTCGTTACTTCAATACCAGTCGTTTAACCGGCTGCGATAGGAATAGGTAGCCGAGCGGTTAGTGTCAAAACTCTAATAGGTGTTCAAATGGAAGGTAAGACGAGTGTAACGAAATAAAATCAGTCAGACGGAGGAAAAGGAAGGCGCGGCAAAGAGGAGGAGGGTAGACGATGAACAGACGCGGTGGCTGTATGATATATGTACGTATTATAGCACGGGCCAGCACAAAATTAACCAGCGCTATTTCTGTCCGGCTGTTCCTGCACTTTTCTTTTTTACACCTTCCTGGAAACTGACGTGTTCGTTTCGCTTCGCTCCTCGCGCGTTTCCACGCGCTCCGCGCTTTTCTTTCCTCCCTCGCGATCCTCTCTTTCTCGTTCTTTCGTTTTTATTTCGAACAGACGCGGTCTTCCAGCGGTGGTCCGCCGTGTGTCTTGGCCTCGATCCCGATTTCACGGCAAAATTATCGCACGAAACTTGACATCGGCCCCGATTTTTCTTCCCCAACGACCGCTTTATTTCCCCGTTCGAACGTACCGCGTTTCTCGGGAAACGGGGAGACGTTAAACGAGAGTTTGCTGGCTCGTGGAACAGTTCGATAATAAATGGACGTTTCGACGGTGATAACGTGACGTTTCTACGGAAATCACTTCTAGTTTGCGCTCCAGTTGAATCTTCTCAGTGACGCGTTTGTCCGTGGAAGATAATTGCGAGTCACGCCAGTCGAGGAATTGTCTGTTACGTAGGAAATTGTTGGAAGGAATTTTTGTGAATTACTCGAATACGGGAAAAATGAATTTTGGAATTTTTTCAAGTTAAATTTTTTATATAGGTAGGATGGAAAATGTTTCGTGCTTTACCGAGGGTTTTAATGGATTTTCTTTTTGTCAGAAAGTATTGCAATATTTTATCAATACGATTCACCGGATTACTTTAACAGAAAGAAGTGTAGAAGTTGAAAAAAGCAATTAATTTCTGAATACGAAATTTATCGTTTTCGATAGAAACACGCAATATGTTTTCTACCATAGTTATTGCGCCATTTTTCAACTTATATCCCATATGGTAAATTAAAAAATATCGTCCACCGTTAAAGTGATTGATATTTCAATAAAATTAATAAACAGTGTAATTGACATTTTCAACAACGAAGACTTATAATAACCTGGCGCTTCTTTCTCTGAAATTCTCAATTTCCCGTCAACTTATTATTTCCCCTTTAATTAAAAACGAAAATGAAAACGGCGAGGGGAGTCGGTAACAGCGTTAATAGGATTATGAAAAATATCTCCGGTGAAATTGAAAATGGTCGAATATTCGATGCCGAAGACAGCGTTGGTTAGGTGTCTCGTCCCATTTTTCCACCTGTAATGCAATAATGTCGTAAGTTCCGAAACGACGTTGCAAACGAACGAGAAGAGAGTACATCCTGACCTTTCTGGCTAACTTGAAAGTTTCTTAACTCGGTGGCGCACTTGACCGAAGGGAGAGGAAAAAATGTCTGGCAAACTCGATACCAAGAGCGTGACGAAGTTCCCCCGAAAAATTTTTAGGAGAACGATAAAACGAAAAGTGGCAACTAACGAGCTTATCCACTTTTTCACGTTTTCACGTGGAAATCTTTGCATCTTTCTTTCTGCTTGGGATGCTCTTCACGAACAATCTCTGTGGAATTGTGTGATATTAATCTAGAAAATTAGACTCGAGTTATTTTTACTAATTTTTAAAATATTGAATTTTCTGAGACTTTCGTGAAATTTCTTATTTCTAAAAATATTTTAGACTTTCCCTTCCTTTCTGCTTGGGATGCTCTTCACGAACAATCTCTGTGGAATTGTGTAAAAATAAGCTAGGAGATTATTGCATTGTTTCGCGGAATGGTAAACTAATTTCAAAAATTTTGAATTTTTTTAGAAATTCGTGAAATTGCTTATTTCTAGAAATATTTCAGATTTTTCTGAAAAAAAACCATTGTGAAATGCAATCTAGGTAGGGAACATCCACAAAGACACATAAACAAGGCGGCGAGCACGCATGAAATTTGCATATTTACGAAGACAGTTATTCCGGAAATTTCACCGTACAAAGAATGCAATTACGCGGACCAGTATCAAAGTAAATCGCGATACTGCTCCACGCAACGTGGATTGCGTTAAAACTTTCAGGAAAAAGCACAAAGAGACTGTAAGTGCAATTAATATTAATCGATATTTGAAAAGAAATTTCTGCCATCTGAAGGTCTTTTAAATAGATTTTCAAACTCCCCGAACTTGTATGAAAACGCGTTAAAATCTGATATCTGATAAAACTGATAACATATAAATTTCAATATTTTAAAATATTTAAATCGTATTCCACATACCTTTATGAGAATTTCGTTTTTTAAACATTCCTTATGAATTATTACACATTTAACACAAACACCTTTCTTTTTAATCCAATAAATTTACAGAAAAAGAGAATTTTAATCAATAAAAAACGGGTCAAAATTAAATTCAAGATTGCAAAAGTTTCGTTACTGTGACTTGCTAATAACCCAACAAATTTATAGAAAACAACGTTTTCAATTGATAAAAAGAGCGAGATTAAATTCCAATAAATACACCGA